AACGTGATGTTCACTTGTTTTTTCCGATCTGTCACTTTATCCCATCGTTAGGAAAATTCTTGTATACTGTTGCGGCTCTGAATGGGTTGATTCGATTGTTTGTTGTTGTGATGGTACTTGCTCAGATTCAATAGGCGCCGACGATGATCCGTCGTATAAGAACTGTTGAATGAGTGTTGTTGAGGCTGCGACGTGCTGTCCTCGATGCCGCTGTTGTTCAGACTGCTTTCTGCGGCCGCCATATTGGTTGGATATTCAGGATTGTAAACTGATTCTACGGCTTGAGAAACTAAATGCCCTGTGCTGAGAAGATCATTGTCAGAGAAATATTGTGCACTAAAACTGAACCGCACACACGTCTACTTAATACTGTTTTGCACTAGCAGTACGAAACGCTATGCGAAACGTTATGTGAAGCGATGTTGCTCGGTCGAAAGCGCAGAGCAAAGTGTCAATCAAATGGTACTCGCGACTACGCTCTACAGTCTCAGGATTCGCAAACTTTCGAATCTAGGGTCCGCTGAGCCCCAATTTGTCGTTTGAGGTCGTTACACATTGAAAAGACACATAATAAATGACAGATTGTAAAAATATGTGCAAAACTCTTCAATACATTGTCTACGAGTTGATAACTGTACCCGTAATCGTTTTAAATGAGAATGCACAACGAGAGGATAAAATGGCGAAACCTGCCAATGAGATTTTTTAATTTAAAAGGATAATTCAGAACTTCTCACACCAGATATGAATGAGTAATTTTTAGCTTTGTATATACCTATAAAAAACGACACTTAATTGTACTCATAAAATCAATTTAGACTCTTATTGTTACTTTAAGTTTTATATAACCATTTTGTATAACCAAGTTTCTGTCGAACATTTTCGTTTTCGAGAAACTTACGTCTCGTGGCTTCTTTCAGTTTCACATTTGATTTTTTCTGCGTCGTACACGCGTTGCCAGCTGCGTGCGTTGAGGAAAAGAAGAGAGGGGTGAGATAGACAGCTATTAGTCTGGGCCAAGAAGCGGCATCCTCGACAGCTTGAGGAGGAAGTAAACTTACGCCATTGGAACCAGCAAAATTGTGCCTCGACGTTGCGTTTAACTTGCATGAGGTCACTTCACCCGTCTTCTAAACCACTCAAATTCAATGTTATGTATCAGTGCCGGGCAGAATAGTTTTAAATGCGACCCCAAAAGTAGCAAACTGATTGAGTTTTCTAAAAAAAAAAAATTACGGCATGCAGGTCACAAAACTTCTTTGAATAACGATGTGAATGTTTACGATTGTTATTCGTTGCATTATGAAATATTTGGAAGAGCATTTTGTGATTACAATTGTTTAAAGTTTTAGTAGTCACCTCAACAGAAAATCAATCATGAGTCTTCTGTTTTATTTCTAGCATGTAGTAAAATACAGAATTAAGTAAACTATATCAGCCACACGGCCATCATGCTGTTGCAATTTCAGAGAAAAGTTTAGAAAATTTTACTATTTCTCAACAACATCTACGAGTTAGTTTCCGGCAGTCATTCTGAAGATGTCATGCGGGTGTACGGAATTGCTGCATTACTCTTTATTTTTCCCACGCCAATACAGGGACACTAACAAAAATTCTAAAATACGACATAACCCTTCGTAAAATTCTTAAATAATTTCCAAACATTTCTCGCACGATTTTGTTGTTCTTATCGTTTGTAGAAACATCCTACTTTCCACCACTTTCGTTGGTGATCTGGAACCATTGCGTTTCTTAGCAACAAAAACATGAAAATGTTTGATACTACTAAGTATTCTGGTGACCTCGAGGGAATGTGAGATAGAGAAAATGTACCATGTTTAGTACTCTGACAACAGAAAACGATTGTATTTGGCAGCGTTCGCTAATACATACTACACATTTACTCACTACAAATTCACGTTTCCTCTAACATAACTGAACAAACTAAACAATTTATACAACCACTTTACGATATCTTGAGAAAACGAAGAAGATAAAGAAGAAGAAGAAGAAGAAGAAGAAGAAGAAGAAGAAGAAGAAATAGACACCACGTGTACAATGGCTAAAAATACCAAAATGAACACCACAACGAAGTTTCACCCATTCCGTCCGAACGAGGGCATCGTCACAGGAGTCATAAAGGAGTCGGCTCGGCTCGCTCGGCTGCCGCCTTGCAACTGTCACTGACTCAGCTGTCGCCTCGACGCCGCTGCACTCGAGGGACGCAACCACTCGGCATCCCCCCGCGCCGCCCCCTCCCCCCCGTAGCACAGTCCAACAATGCGAGGCGCGGCCCGGGCGGCAAGCAAATGGGGCTGCCTGCGGCCGCAAGTGTGTTTCCGGAGCACTTTCACTCTCCGGTGCGTGGCGTGCGCAGCTCACGCGCGGTCCCGTTCGCACGGCGCTGCTCGCTCGCTCGCTCTCCGCCTGCGCTCCTCGCCCGCTCGCCGGCCTTCAGCCCTAGCATTCACCCGCCCTTCCACCCACTCGCCTGCCCCCCCCCCCGCACGCCTACCCGCTTGCCACCCGCGCACTCGCCTACATGTTCGCCCGCCCATTCGCCTGCCCCTTTGCGCGGCCGCCCGTCTGTCCGCACGCTCGCCGGCGAGACGCCCCGCGCCGTGCCATGAGGCGCTCTTCTCCTCCGCTTGTTTGCTTACCCACTCGGCACACCGCGCATCTGGTCCGTAGCTTACCTGCGCACTTGTGTGCTTGTTCGTATGCTCGCTTCCTCGTAAGCTCGGTGGCTCGTTTGACAACTTGTTCGTTTGTTTATTCGTTGGTTTACTCGCTGATAAGTTCGTTCGTTCACTCGCTGGCTTGCCAGTTTGTTCACTCGCTGACGTGCTCGTTCTTTTGTTTGCTCGCACACTCGTTTATTCGCTCGTACGCTTGCTTGCTCGCATTCTTACTTGCCAGGGAGCCCTGTCCTAGACGTATCCAGCGGCTGATGAATCACTGGATCTCTCGTGGGTTGAGGTTCGCTGCACTACCGGTACTATGCTGTTTAGACACGTGACATGACTTTTGCTGGCGTAACAGACTGATTTAGTGAGACAGTCGCAGATTCAAAAGATTTAAAACGAACTCGTCCGCTTGTAGTCCTAAGTTTTGAAGATATATTCAGGTCTCCTACGTATCTCTACATCTATCCTAGATCTCTCGCCCGTAACGTACGTTCTTCACCTCCTGCAACATTGTACACAAGAACATAACATTAATGAGGGATAAGTTCCTTTAAAAATATACACTTAATTATTAATAATTAGTCCCAGAATAATTAAAACATGACTGGCACTTTACATAAACTAATTTTTGAATCTTTGAAAATCATGAAAGAAAAAATTGAAAATCATAGCAAATAAAAGTTCATGTTTTGGATAGAATAGTTACAAATGTTAGTGTGATACATTCTTACTCGATTATTTCTAAGCTTTTCTCTGTTTTTAAGAGCATACCTTCTTCGGAAGCTGAGAAGGGACTTTTTAATTTCAAGCACCAGTCTATATTCAACTGTCTAAAAACACTGGTCTTCAAAGGATAGGTTAAAACATGCGTTTCTTAAAGTTTTGTCAAAAAAGCTATTAAGTTTTATCGTTTAACAAAGGAAGAAATATACATAAAGAGAACTCCTCCAAAACCGTAATTAACATTTCTCGCAAGCAGTGTGACTGAAAAAGATGGGATTTGAGAAGAGTGATGATTACGAAAATAAAGCAATTAGATCACAAAAGATGGCGGTCTCTTCCCATACCACAATATTTTCATTGCCAACTTCAAGATCACAATTTAATTACAAAATTAGGTCATCATATTTTAGGCAAATTGTAAAACAAATTTTAATTATAATTTATAAATTATTAATAATAAATTAGTCAATAAATTTAATACATTTTCACTCCTAAAAAAGAGTCACATTTTCACGCTCAGAAGCTATATTCTGCCGCTCCAGCACATTTCAGATGTAAGATAAGTAATCATATTTGCCCCAATTGCCTGCTCGCTGATAAAACGGTTCGCGTCACTTTACGTGTGTATGAAATAACAACGATCCTATTCTTGCAAACACAAATATACGATTCTCAGTGTTCTAATCTAAAGGCAAATGATTGAACGACCATTGAATGCTATCCTTGATTGAATGAGCCGTACACTGAAACAGCATTATTCAATATCAACTGAAAAAAGTGCAGAGTAAATATTTAAAAGTAGTATATCTGGTATAAACGTTGTAATGCATATTTACTTTCGTTTCAATTGATGACAATAGTTATTTCCGATTTCGGTAGGTATGAGTAAGTTAGAGTGTTCAATTTTGTACTCATTATTTCACAAACATCTTAACAAGTAAAAAACAAAAAACACCTTTTGAAAAAAGAGAGTTAACTATGAACAAAATTGAAAATTCTCATAAATCTAATTGTCTGTTAAGACTGAACAAAATAAGTGTTATCATAAACTCATCTCTCACACAGAAACCATATGTCATTTTTATTTATTACTACTTACAATATTTAACCGAATATTATACTAACATATTATTAAAATCTATTATATATTTAATGAACAGTTATTTTTACCGCTTGATACCATATATTTGGTGTAGCGTTCCCAATGAACGAAGTGTTTATTGGAATGAATGGTTCACGAAATCACAATATCTTGCCAACAAGTCGATCCTTTTTTCAAAAGTCTGAATTTAGAAAATACATATAATAAAGTGCTCTTATTTACACTAAAAATATATATGGAAGGAAAAAAAGTTGAAATATAATTTGCATTCTTGAATAAACATTAACGAAGACTTTCTGTAAATTTCTTAATAATCTGTACATTTAGCTCTATTACACGAGAATTAATTTAATTTTGGTAAAACAAGTTTATTGAAACAAATTGAATCGTTCCTCAATTATTTGCCACAACCAGTGAAACTGTGGTTGATGTAACACTTTTTTAATACAATGGAAAAACGGTACACTGACCTGTTTTTACCTCCCATCTCACATAGATCACAAGTTCTGAACTCAGTAGAAGAAACCATTCTTGAGTGTGCCAGACTTTTCAGCTCGCTGCTCGCCCCGCGCTGCCTGCTCGCCTCTGCTCTCTGCGCAGGACCATTACGTTGATCTCCGGAGATCTGTTGGCTTCGTTGAGAGTTGTGTGTTCCGCTACAGCGTGTGTTGTTAGTGTGGTTAACAGTATCTACGAAACATCGCCAGGGAATAGTTCTCCATTTAAAAATGTGTAAATTACATCCTCAATCCATTTAATTCCTTTCTCTCCGCTCTGTTGCTTGCAGTAAGCAAAAGAAGAAACATCAATCAAGATGTGCAAAGATAGTATAATTTTTTTGTGTATCCAAAACACAAGAGTTCGAATGAGGGTCAGACTAAATGTTCACGTTTTGTTTAATTCTGTCGTTTTACTATTAATCATAATTTAATATGCAACACTTTCTTGTTCCGACACTTAACAAAAGAAATGAATGAAATAATGATTTTGTACTAACTTATTACCAAGTATGTACGTAGTTATTTTCGTTGGCAGTGAAGTTAAAATCCGCCTTGAATAATTTCATCATGGATTCTCATCAAGAATTTAAGGTTATTAAACCACCTAAAACTATTCCTATATGAACAACAGATGAATAAGCAATTAATGACTTCAAATCCATCGAGCGAAAAGAGCTACAAGCCCTGACCTACAGAAAGGAAATAATAAAGAATGTTGAGTAGGTACTTTGCTTCCGAATCGGTCTACTTATTCTAAAAATCTTCAAACCAAGCAGCAGTGAATGTTCAGTTTATGAAAATAATATTTGCATAATAAGTATCCCGCATGGTAGACGAGATGTAATTATATTCAAATCAAGTATGAATATAATTTTGAAATAAAAATTAATAGTAGAAACGTCATTAAACATATAAAAATCTATAATTCAAAGGTTATCTTAGCTACTACTTAAATGTATGTTTTCAGAATGCATTGATTTGAATTACTATTTTGCATAACTTGCATCATTATTCCTATTAATTGGCTTTACTGTTTTGTGAGCCACAAATGAATTCTCAATCTTGATAATTGCCCACAAATATACTCAAAATTAATGGGGAAATTTTAAGATTATTTTTAGCACATCTGCCATGATTCAGTGAATATATGGGTAACCATTCATAACAATGTGAAAGATTAGGAAAATTAGAGAAAATACGATAAATTGCATAAAGCTATTACACTAACACTGTCCATTATTCATAAGTTTCTTCTTGTAGGAAATCATTGAAGAGACATACTTGATAGGAAATAAATTTTCGAAATCGATACTGATGAATTAAATGCTACTCGTCATCCCATATATCTACGATTGTATATATCCCAATGTATAACTATGTGGCGGGTGGCTGCAACAGTGAAACAGCCATGCACTGTTACAGTTCTTCCGATATGCGTGGCAGTGTAATGCGTGTAAGAGCAGGGAACGAGGATGAGGACCGAAATATCTTGAGAAATACGCTGCGTGTTAAGGGACAGCTACGGCATTCGTCTGGTATTAATCGAAGGACAGGATCAGAACCACAGGCCAAGGCAGTCGGTCGCTTGAATTCTCTTTCACACAGTGGCTGATGTTTAACTGACGTGCATGATATATCGTGTTCTAGCTGATTCGCTAGTGTCGAAAATCTACCACCGTTGAGACTCGAACTCGAGATCTGCGACGGTTTAGGAGCAATTAATTGCGCGTTT